TGACCAAAGCATAACCTCCCTCGAAATCCTTTCCTTCATCTCAGTGGTCGTATCCCGGATCGATACCTGGACACGTATTCGTCTTTGGGAATGAGTTATCGAATGAAACTAGGAAGGGGCTCAACGGAAGAGCTCGACTTTGGAATAGAACGATAAGGGCGTCGAAGTTCTGGTGTTTGGGCTAGAAACGTTTGGTGCAAAACGTCTCGTCGATGAAATCCCGGTCGAAGATGGATAATCCCGAATTGGGAAGACTATCCAAAATCAAAGACGGTATACTTCCGGCATCAACATGGATAGCTTCAAGTTCCTGGGTGAAAAACATCTGCATTCCCGGACACCGTGTCTTTTCTGGTACTAGAATCGGCCGTTCCGGATATCAGGCCTCCTTCTGTGCCTTGTTGTCTGGCGCCTTCTCCTCCTCCTCCATTCGTTCTACCTTCTCTAACGGTTTCGAATATTCGGCGTCTGAGATCTTTGCACTGTCAACCACCTTCTGGCAACAAGAGGAAACATTTGTGACAATGGCATTCCCATCAGCAAGTTATTTGAGTGCGAGACGGCGAAGCAAAAAATGGACGCAAAAGCAACGAGTAATTATTTGAACGAGGCCAGACTGCAGGAATATGAGAGGGCGAAGAAAGGAGAGTGAAATATTCGCGTACCCCAGATATCAACAACCGGACGATGGTGGCAGTGAGGAAAGAGCCGCCCGTGAACCCTTGCCTCACAAACCTCTTGTTAAAACTCATGACAAGTGAGACACACAGCCGACGTAGAGGTTTGACGAAAGCGATAAGAAATTCAGCGCAGAGGCTGGAGAAAGCACGTGAAACGAAGTAGCGGAGGCCTCTGAAAACGCTCACTAGCGGCGAGCGCTCACTAGCGGCGAGCGCTCACTAGCGGCGAGCGCTCACTAGCGGCGAGCGCTCACCCTCACATCGACCATTCTAATAAATCGTCTGATAAGCATATTTACTTTGGAGATTATTGACAAAGAAGGAGCGGCATTCATCGAGGACGTTTTCCGTTGTCCAATCTGGATCCCAAGTAGCCTTACTAGGGGTGAGCATGCAACTTTGGCGGATGTTGGCAAGTGGAATGATAGCTCCTGCAGAGAGAGAATTGACATCCTTTGGGTAGTCCACTCGATACATTCCAGTTGAGTCCTCTGGAGAATTCCTGAATGGTGTGAACCAATTGACATAGGCGAGTGCTTCAGTTGGCCAATGAGGAGGAGCTGGCTCCGGATCTCCGTCGCGATTGACCGTGGACGGAAGACGGAAGATGATCCTAAGCCTTGCCACTCGACAGCCTAAAGTTACTGATCAGATAAGCTCCAGTAAAGAAATCGCAGGCTGCTTAGTACCTTTCACAGCGGTAGACTGAGCTTCGTCCGTGTTCAATACAATGACTGTATCAAATCTTGGAACAAGCGCCTTTCTCCAGGTTGGAATTGCCTTGATGATTTCCCTGGGTACTTCAGAACCATCATCGAAGATATCGGTAGGCCTAAGTTTGAACTGATGCCATATGTCAAGCGTCGTGAATGGCGTGTGTCCTGCCAACGCTTCAGCTTTGGTCCCCCGCTGGTCGGTAGGAAGTAAGTCGTTGAGAAACAGCTTCAGGTGGGCTATGAAGCCCGGAGATAAATGTGTTAGAACAATTCGAGATAGAGATTTCCGAGGTTCTGCAGGAGTTCTAGTCAACGTGCAGGAGCCGGGAACCACGCGGGTATTTTGTGCGGCAGGTATACTTCTGGCTGGCCTGCGCACCCTGATCTCCATTTCCTCGGCATCCCCTGAATGTCCATAGTCTTCCAAATCTGTGCCAAGTATACCGAATTCCTCTTCATTCACCTCGGGGACCTGATCCTCGAGCCAAGACCTAAAGAAATCATACGAGGCGATCTTTTCCTGTCTGTCAAGCCACCTAACCATTTGCGGAAAGTGGTCTCTCTTGTTACTAGCCCTCCAACCTTCCTTTGCAAAATCGATGTGCAGCCGCTCGAACATCTCTGTATTTGTGTTATCCAAAGACCCGATCCATCGGATAGAATCAACATAGTGGAGGAGCGAATGAAACTTCGGTATGTTGAACTCCTCTCTGACTTTCTCTTGGATGAAGTAGGATCGATGGTCGTGCCATGTGTTCAACTCTTGGAGCATGTAGCTGAGGGTGTCTTCATCATGAGAGGGATATTGAGCGAGATGAATGAAGTGAAGCAGACTCCGACAGGCAGTGATACCACGTGGGTGGATTTTCCCAACAACGCATGAAAGAATTATGCGGGTGATATGCTTTCGTTCGACACCTGAGACTTGAGACAGGCCTGATATTCCATTTTTGAAATGGCGCACTCCTGAGGCAGGAGGGAGGCTGCAGATCCTCTGATCCAGTTCCTCCTCAGTCATCACCTTTTGAACCCAAAGGACTATGTATTTCAACACGCCTTGATATAACTGATGAAGTACATCGGGAGCGATGCAACGATGAATGTCTGTTAGGGGAAACCCAACCCAAAAAGGTTGATAAGCACCCCCAGCCACATCCTGTTTCATGCACAGTTTGTGGACGGCTGTGGAGCCAGAGCGAGGATTCCGCTTGGCGGTCGAACGAGCATCATTGATGACCCCTTCAGTCCATGTTTGTTTGCGGGGGGCACCAGGGGTACGTTCCTCTAATTCTGTAGCCTTGCGTTGACATTTGGGGCATGTACCATACTTGGAGCAGGTCACCAAGCATTGTTCAGGATAGTCGGCGATATAGGCAGCAAGGATCGGGTAAACCTTCCTTACCGCCCCATCTCCTCCCACCAGCTCTACTCCTTCCCCTGCAGGATCACCGGCTTCCTTCAGAGGTTCAAGGACTGCGGCCATGGACCTATGAAAAATTTCGTAGGTTCGAACTCGAAGCGCCTGTTCTGTAAAATTTTTCTTCGCCGGCTTGTCTACGGGAAGATATGCGATGAGAATGCAGGCCCTTGCGTTTGGCTTGTTTCTAAGAGATTTTGGAATGTTGCCGAGCGTAAGATAGACAGGGTAAGCGGTTTTGTTGCCCGAGAACTGTGTCAGCTGAGTCTTGTCGGAGGCGATGATAACTGGCGCTATGGTGCCACCTCTAGGTACTGCTTTCTGAAGGTAAATTTGAGCAGAAAGTTGAACGGATATAAACTAGAGCATACCTGAGCGGCCCTCCAAAGACCTCCTGTCCACATCTCAGAGAATATGCGTTCGTTATCGGTCGGTTTGTGCTTATTACGAAACATCTTTGCCGGCTTGTAGACAAGATCCTTGGCCAGAGCGGGATCGCCCCAGAGCGCTCTGATAGCTTCAATAGGATTTCTATGGCGCACGATGAAATGTTCATCCGGCCGATCTTTAAACGACAGTCTCTTTGTGAACCATTGTCCACGAGTGGCCGGAATTTCGTCCACTAGCTTCAACATGGATCTTGCATTGTGAAAGGACAAGCCCAAGCGTTCTTTGACCTGAAAGACCCATTAGAATATGACAGACACTATATGTCTGAATCACAACTTACCATAGGAACTTTGAGCAAGCGGTTCAATGACTTTTGAGAAATTTTCTCCTTTACGGCCCACTGAGCAATTTCCCAATCAAGACGGCTGCTGAAAGGGCGATAGGATTGATCAGAAGTATCGTCGACACCGAAAAGAGACTGCCAGTGATTGTGGACGGTAGGTTCGTGTCTCAAAATTTGTCCGGCAGAATCATCCCAATCGGTGATCCGCAAATCTTCATCATCATCGACCAGCGTGCGCCGGAGCGAGGAGCGAGGCTCTGGAAAAGGCCGTTCAGACCCGCTTTCTTCTTCTTCTGCGACACCACGTATGTTAGGGTCGGGTAGGGAATCAAATACTTTTATCACATCTTCCAGATCGGCGTTATCCAGAAGTTGATCGATTCTGTCAGAAAGAGATTCTGCATCATCCTTTGAGTCAATCGGTTCCGGGGGCTCGCTGATAAGGCTTCCTTCGTCGTCAGATAAGGGATCGTCAATGACCATGTCTCTAGATGAGGGAAGATCATCGGCGTCAACGTCGTTTGTGAAGAAATCAAGATCATTGGGAGCAGGCTGATCCAGGAGGGATGCGGCAACCCCTTGAACGGTGTCCGCGAAGTTTTTTGTTAAAGTCTGTCTTTGTTCAAAGGCGTACTGCTGATGTGACAGATCCTGCTTCTGGCGTATATGGGATGCGCGGTCCTGAACCCGTTTGAACGTTCGATCGCACACGAAGCATTGGAAGCTCATGACTGTTTGAATTCGATACGGAAGTTGGAACCAGCTGATTAGTTGGAAAGTGAGGCTCTACAGGATAGGAAGTATCTTGCAGAGAATGACGAAAGATACCAGTTCTGTTCAGGATAGTAATTAGTCGACAATCGTAAAGATATAGGAAAGTGGCATTGCCTACTGATAATGTTCTGTCGAACTTCCTTTCGTGCCTAGGATACACCAGCGATGAGAAACAGCTAGCTTTGGTCATATGGAGAAAACAGACTCGGAGACCGTCATACGCGGCTTTGAACGAGGCTTTGAGCTCGTTGGAGAAACGGGACGCTGGGAGCACTTAGCCAAAAGACAACTGCAGGCAGCATCAGCATTACAAATACCGAACAGATACAGTGAAATCTTACTTCGAGGATCGTCTTCAAATCGTCTTCATCTTCGGATAATGGATTCCTCTTGGGTCCAAGTTCAAGTTGGGAGCATATGTAACACTCGTGATGTTCCGGCAAATGAGGTTCCGAATGCCTAAATAAGCCGGAATAGCCACGGACAGAGAAAAAGGACCTCAAAATATCTCTGTATATTTCAAGCCTCCACAAAGAGTTTGGACAACCTGCATGGGAATAAACTTAGAGGCTAGAGCAAGTGTGAATGCTCCATGCCATCGCATAGCTTTGATATAGCTACCGAGGAGTTTTGAAGTTTACGTTGTAAAAGCAAAAAAAAAATGAAGGAGCCTTGAAGTATGCCCGTTGCGAGAATCGAACTCACATCACCCAGACAGATATTAATCGAGTTACAACGCGAGAACATATATCGGGTGCTTTACCTTTAAGCCAAACGGACGTCTTTAGTTCAAAGTCTGATTGAGAATAGGACCTCATTAGACAATCATTAGACTTCGACCAGTCTCCATCGCTTGAATTAATTTCGTTCCGCTGAATTTAATACTACTTAGTACATCTTCTTCCATAATGTGTGCACGTAGTATGCCGGTACGGGTCGCTGATGAGACAGAGCGGTGTCGAGGTGACGGACTCTTGGTGCGAAAAAAACAGAAATTCAATGAGATTTGTATATAGCTCATTTCTCAATCCTAGACCGTTTGCATTAGCAGCGCGAGAGCTCACGTACTGAGCCACGGTGTTGCAGTGTTTGTAGAACCTGAAGGAGGACGTCCTTACGCCGGTGTTCGTTGAGAAGGAGTACCTAGTTTGCTATGAGAAACTTGACCGCGAATGAAATAATGACCACCTACCAAAGATATCTTGTGAACTCGGTCGATGGAGTGAGAATAACAGAATTCTGTTGCATCGTAGTACTTCAACTTGACGACGGCGTCGTATGCTTACATCCCTGGAACAAGTCAACCCCAAAGAGCAATGATATCGTCGGTTTCATAGTAGTAGATGACAGAGGCGACAATTCGTTCGTGAGGCTGATGAACGTAGAGTTTGAAAGAAACCTTCCGAAAGAAGAGCCACACTTTCCATATGCCAAGACCCTTCGTACTTCCGTCCAGGGGACAAGGTGTAATTGGCGGCCTGTACGGGGAGTATTAGCACAAAATCTCCGGATGGGAGATTCTAAACCTACTTTCACGATGACCTTCAAATCCTGACCTTTGTATACCTCAGACGCCACAAATTCATCTCCAGGCTCGTAGAAGCTTTGTTTCCTCGTCTTCTAATATCCTCCTTCATCTTCTCCGCGTTCTCTTCGCGTTTCTGAGCATCCTACGTTGAAGCACGACTAGCAAGAAATTCGTTCCACATCTCTCTGGTGAGCACGAATTCGTTCCCTGTGACAGATACCGACGTTACATCCATCGTACGACTAGGAACATCGTTATACTCATGAGATACAAATCGTCTTTTGGACTAACACACCTGACGATGAAGTTTTGAGGTGGTATTTACGCCTCGCTCGTGGGCATGGTCTTCTCGAAATGAGGTAGAGCTTCCTTTCGAGTACCCTGCACAGGCTCAGATATTGGTCTCTCGTATCAGTCCATTGATTCAAAATTGGATCTGAAGAGACTTTGAATATCGAGGGGATCCAAGGAAAAGCAGATGTCATTTCGACCTTGGTCAAAGTTCCAATCTAGGTTCGGCACTTGTTATCAACGTCGTCGACTGGAGGGAGTTTGACTCCGGGAAGAACGGAGGTAGTACCAGCGACATAAGGATCTATTAGAATATACGAGATGTATCTGTGATGAATAGAAGGCTTATATGCAATTCATTGAGTGAACGCACATAGTATAGGGTCGATGAGGTCTTGCACCGAGTTGAAGGAAACGAGCTAGATGGGATGGGAATTGAGACGCACCTTTCCAAGAGAATGCGGGTGGAAATCGGGAGGCTCAGTCATCCAACTCACGTACCAGCTACGACAGAACTCTCAAGATTTCAAGCAGTGTATCACAAAACCCAGGCTGAAACCTTGGTGCACTGAATCCGGTACGAGACCGTCTGAAGCTTAGGTTCATGCAGCGCGTATTCTGAGCTGCGAGCGTATTTCAGTGCATTTTCAAAGTCACCATCGATATCGCTAATAGGCATGTGGTGCTTGCTACTCAGGTCGTGTCCGACAGCATCTATGTAGTATGATTTCTCGTTCAACTTTTCGCATTTGTGATCTACATCGCAGCTCGCTGAGCGCATAAACTCGGAGAGATGAAAGGAAGCCACTTACTGAGTTACCTCCGCTGCCTCTCCTTGTAGCACTGTAGAATCGAACGGAAGGAGTTCTGCCTCTGAAGCCTATCTCAGTACGAGTTCATCGCTCCAGATGTTTGGCTCCCATTCATTCTTATCCCGCACAGCGATGTAAGATTAGATCCTCCTTCATGGGTTTTCTAGACGTACATATTGGCCGTATTTTTCGAAGAAGGGTTTCGAGAGCACGTGGTCGTTTGCGGAGATTGGGACATGATGATGATAGTACGAATGATAAATGATGGCATTTTGTGGCGCTCCCCACGTTCACGCAAAAAAAACGACGCTGAGGAGATATTTGAGCCAATGAGAAGGAGAGAAAAATGTGCATACCACTATAAGCATCCGTGCAATATCTTTAGTTTCTACATCATCACACGTCCCCACCATGGTTTTGTATGCGGTATGAGCATCATGGGCCTAACACACTTCCGTTAACAGAGAAAATAGCACGAACACCGTAATACTTAGCTTAGATTTTATTTGCATATGTTGCAAGTTTTGTGGGATTTCGGTATTCGCAGAGCGCTGTGTGTTGTTCTAAACTATACTAAGGTTTGAATATATGGTGTATATGATCCCCTTACTATAACTGATGAGAGTCAGTAGAAAATTTCGAGGAATTAAAGAAATATTCACCTCACGCCGTCGATGACCTAACGAGGAAAGGACGAATAATCGTCATCCAATCGTATAAAATTTTCGATGTGTTTTTTTCGGCCTGGAAGGAACGTTGGCGATGGGATGCTCGAAGAATGAGGAACGTACAATTAGGACAGTAGTCTTTGAGAAGGTCAGAGCATTCGAGCTCCAAAGATAGATGTGCCCAGCGACTCTGCCAAAGTGAAGTCAGTGTCAAAATCTCGATAATGCTCAATAACTTGACTCACTTGCTCGACGCCTCCTCGTCGTAGCAATAGGGTCCATCCAGATCCGATGGTCACAAGGACACTGCCGTTCCCTCCTCCTCCGTTCGAAATCGCGAGACATCCCAATTTTCCATCGGCGACCGTGTTCGACGAACGCATACAAGTAACCCGGTCCATCTGCCGACGAGGTTGGGCGAGCTCACCGAAACGCGTAAAAAGCGCGCAATATGAGTTTGGGTCGTTTGGCCATTGACTGGGGAAGGTCAGAGAGCTGGTTAAGGAAGAAGGATGCTTGGGTTGTGAAGAAGCACTTATCGGGTGGATGAGGATGTGGAAACGATGTGAGGACTGAATCCTTGAGTTTGGACCGTGGTAAATGGGAAGGGTTTTCGCCTGCTACTGTCGATGAGATCAAGATGAATAACCGTTTGTGATCATTTGGCTTGAACGACGAGGACTGAGAGACAAACACAAACAAGAAAAATGAATCATATAAAGAAAGACAGGGTTGAGGAGTAGAACAGGAGAACGAACGAGGGTTTCATGGGCAACAAAAACTGCAGCTAAAGGTAGGAAAACAGTCGATTTTTCGCAGAACGATAGTATGCAAGCTACTACTTTTTCGACGATTTTTGGACCTCAATGTTGCGACATGAGCGGTCCCGATACGAGGCCTTTCGCTGGGAAAAATTGTAACGAGACGTTGATCTCATTCTGGATGTGAGCTACACTCACCCTCAGTTTCCTTTGACAATCCTTGTTCGATTGTACATTCCTCCCCGCTAAGTGGTGATCGGGGTTGGATCGGGGCGGGGCTTCTTTTGGCACCGCCACCTTGTACGGATCACGACGAAGACACCGATACATATCCTTCTCTTGGTTTGAGAAATCAAATGAGGAGCATTGAAAGTGGAATCTAACCTGATTCCCGTGCATCGAGGTTGTAAGTGAGCAAGATACCAGCAAGTCGCTCAATCTCGGTGATTGCGACCCTATGTCAACCGTATTCGGCGCTATGGAATACCGCAGTGAACGCGATTTTTTGTCACCAAACTCATGCAAAGGAGTTCCAGACGGTGTAGAAAACATTGGTCGTGTTCGATCCGTCCTACGACAATCCACGTCGATACGATGCCGTTCCTGTAATATGTATCTAGTAAATTTAAAGAAACAGCGAACGAAGTCAAAGTGGCTTGCGTCAATGATCGGGTCTTTCGAAGACCTCAGCAATCGGTCTTTGAGGTCGTGATATCGTTTTCTGGATCGCTTCATAAGCAGGAAACAACAAACATGACAAAAAAGCATGCCTCTTGGCTTCCCAGTCCTTGTCCCGCTGCTCTCCAGTTACGTCCCATTCCAGTACACCCAATATAAAAGGCCATGCCGTCTGCCTTAGATTTCCCTCGTCAGAAATACCTCTTCTCAACACCTCTCGTTTCCTTTCTTCAAGCCTCACTTTCGGACGGCCATGTGTACTGAACCCGCCAGTCCAACATTTCTCTGGATGTGTTGGATCCCTTGACGTGGTTAGAAAGGGAAGATTTGAAGCAGACTGTAATGCCTCCTCGCCGGTTCTCCTTCTTCTGCCACAATCGGTGCCCAGCGTGCCAGATAAAGCATTGCACTCTCAAACTCTCCAATCTCCTCCCATCTCCTCCCATCTCCTCCCAGTTTCCCCAGTCTATATCTCCATTACCATCGACAAGACTCTTGACAGATTCCGGTGAATGCGTAACGATAAGCTTTGCAAGTAGATGGGCAAATATTCTGAGCTGCATGACGTGTCGCCCGCGAAGGACTGTTGCAGAGCCATCCGGATTCGGGAGGACGGTGGGGCGTTTGAAGACATCGCTCCGAGAGAACGATGTAGGACAGAGGAGCGATGCGAATAAGGATTGGGAGATAGTGCAGATGCTGGAGGAGAGCTTAGAGGCCGAGGTTTGCCATGTGCAAGGAATGGAGAATGCGAGTTGGCATATGACGATTGGGCTAGGATACAGTCAACAGCGTCATCATTGAATTTCTGTGTCGAATGTGTTTTGATATCTGAACGTGACGGGCCAACAAGAAACAGAAACGTCGCAGGTTCGATCGCAAGATATGTACGTAGCATTTCAGTCGTGCAATAAAATCCTCGCCGCCCCAAAAGCTTGTAGACTTGATGAGTGACGAGAGCGAAGGTGGCGGAGGATAAGCGGAGATGCTGGATCTGGTACTCGTTTGTGGAAATTTCGGTGGTGCCATTGTGGAGGAATGA